GAACCAACCATGCTGCCCATAGAAGCTGGACTGTATTAAAAAATGTGGTACATATACACAACGGAATATTATGCAGCCATAAAAAAGGAAAAACATATGGACTTCGCAGCATCTTGGGTGGATTTAGAGTCTATCATACTCAGTGATCTATCACAGATACAAAGAACAGCATACCATACGTTCTCACTCATAAGCGGACCTTGAACAATTATCAAAATACTATAAGAAAGGAATTGGCAGTAGTGGGAAACTGCCAGGGGAGCGGGGTGGGATTGGCAGTTGAGGGAAACTGCCAGGGGAGGGAGGGGCATACCTCATCAGCAAAGGTACATGCATAATGAACATTTGTATACCTAACCCTGAATTGTACCCCACATCTTTAAAATAAAATGTATATATATATATGTACATTATGTATGAACAGAGTAAGGGGGATTTCGAAAATGTTTATATTTAGATAAATATAACCAATATAATGATTATACTAAGTGGGTAGATAAAATTGACTCTTTCTGAATGCTCTTTTATGCTTTAAATTTAAATTGAATTAAAACATCTATTGAGCACTATTCATAGGGATACACTAGATTGAAAATATAAAGGGATTGAGTATATATATGGAGATTAGAGTCAGAGTTATGGCAAAAAGTAGAACCAATTAGACAGATAGAAAATAAGAGAAGGAATGAAGAAAGAAGAAGGAATGAAGAAAGAAGAAGGGATGAAGAGAGGGTGCAAGGGAGAAAGCCTCAACAATTCCATCTCCTGATGTATACTGCCTGTTATAGCCTCCTTCATTGGAGTGATTTACTTCTAATCAACAGAATACAATATTGAGAAGATGCCACCTATCTGATTAGGGTACAGAAGATGTGTCCTCTGTCTTGTTAGCAGACTCACTCTTGCTGGCTTTAATGAAATGAGTCATGGAGAGGCTCCTATGAAAACAAGCTGAGGGCAGCCTCCAGCCAAACTGAGGCTCTCAGTCCAATAACTCTTAAGGAACTGAATCTAGCCAACAACTGCATAAGTAATCTTGAATATGGCTACTTCCTTATTCCAACCTTCAGAGAAGACCTCAGTCTGGCCAATAACTTGATTGCAGCCTTGTAAGTCACCAGGAAGCAAAGAAACCAGCTAAGTTGAGCTTGGATTTCAGACTCACAAAAACTATGAGATAACAAATATGTGTTGTTTTAAGTGGTAAAGTTTTGGAGGTAATTTCTTATACAGTGATAGATTAGTAATACAGACAGATGGATATAATTTTATATTATTTCATGAAAATTCTAGAAAGTATAAACTTCTGGAGTCAGACAAATTTATTAAGGTATAGTAGAGTTTTAACCCCTTCCATTTTCTCCCCTACACATGTATTCTTTAAGTACGACATTCCTCTTCCCCTTCGGAATTCAATTGTTTTTGTTTTGTTTTGTTTTGGGGTTTTTTTTTTTAGTTGGAGTCTCACTCTGCCACCCAGACTGGAGTGCAGTGGCACGCTCCCAACAACTGCAACCTCGACCTGCTGACTCTGGTGATCCTTCCGCCTCAACCTTCCAAGTAGCCAGAACTACAGGCGCATGCTACAATGTCTGGTTAGTTTTTGATTTATTGTAGAGACGAGGTCTCTCGCCAAGTTGCCTGGGTGGGTCTCGAACCCGCAAGCTCAGGCAATCCACTCACCACGGGCTCCCAAAGTGCTGGGATTACAGGCTGAGCCACCAAGCCCGGCCAGAATTCAATTGTTAATGAGGGAAGAAAAGGAGACAATTTTGTGGAGAAAAGTAATAATAACAATGACAGTAATTGTTAATATTTACAGTTCACTTGTTCTCTATGATAAAGTGCTGTAAATTCTTTAGATCTATTAAGTCATCTAACATTCACATTTCTCTGTGGTAGATAACTACTATAATTCCTATTTTGCAGAGGAAAAAAGTAAAGGACAGACAGGTTAAGTAAGTTGCCCAAGGCTACAAAACTTGTCAGTTGTAACAAGTTACCAAGGATTACCTCAAAGCACCTTCTCATCTATTCTTCCCAAACAATCTAGCTGGGTGGAGTTGGAGATCTGTCTAATGCCAAAGTCCTCACTCATTCTAGGTAATAAGCAAACTTATAAATATTAGTAACAAATGCCATATAATGAACATTACTACATGTTAGGCAAAGTGCCAATTGTTTTATAGTCAATATCTCTTTTTGCTCCAAATGATCCTGTGAATTAGCTACTGTTATCCCTATTTTTAAGAGAATGAAAGAGAACTAGAAATCTTTATAAAGAAAACAATATTTAGATCATAGGGTGGTGTTATCAGTACAAGTGTGTCCCCCTAAAAAATACGTGGAAAGCCTAACCTCCAGTACATCAGAATCTGACCTTATTTGGAAATAAGGTGATTTTAATTGCAATCAGTTAAGATGACGTCATAATGGAGTGGGGCAGGCCCTTATTGCAATATGACCGGTGTCCTTGTAAGAGGGAATATCATCCTAAGTAAACTGACCCAGAAACAGAAAACCAAACACCGCATGTTCTCACTCATATGTGGGAGCTAAACAGTCACAAAGATGAAAATAATAGATACTGGGACATCAATAAGGAGGGACAGAGTTAGGGTTAGTGTTAGGGTTCAGAAATTACCTATGAGGCATAACGTTCAGTATGTGGGGAACAGGCCACCTGAGATTCAATTCCCACCACTACATAATATGTCCTTGTGACGAACATGCATAGGTACTCCCTGAATCTAAAATAAAAATAAAATAAAATAAAAAGAAGATGCAGACATACACAAGGAAGAGAATGCCACGAGAAGGCAGAGATTGGAGTTATGCAATCACAAACTAAGGAATGCCTGGGGCCACCAGAAGCTGGAATAGGGAAGAAAGGATCTTTCCCTAGAGACTTCAGAGAAAGCATGGTCCTGCTCACACCTAGGCTCCAGAACCATTAAGTCACCTAGTTTGTGGTCCTTTGTAATCAAAGCCCTAAGAAATTGATACAGGTGGCTTAAATGTTACATGAAAAACTGCTATATTTATATGTTGAGACCAAAGCGCCGTGGCTGAAGCCTGGAAGACCGCTTGAGCCCAGGAGTTCCAGATCAGCCTAGATAATATAGCAAGACCTCATCAATACAACAACAACAAAAAAAAAAAAATCAAAAAAATTAGTTGAGCGTGGTGGCATGTTCCTGTAGTTCCAGCTACTTGGGAGGCTGAGACTGGAGGATTGCCTTAGTCCAGGAGTTTGAGACTGCAGTGAGCTTCAGCTAATGTACTACAGCCTGAGCAAACAAGTGAGAACCAAACTTGAAACTAAATAAAATTTTAAAATAAAATGCTGAATAAAGAGCATTTAAAGTACTCCACAAAGAGTATTTTAAAATGTTTCTGTATAAGGGAACTGCTCATATTGTGCCAGGGTATGCAAAGCTACAAGATAAGAATGAGTCAGTTTCCCCAGAGTGCTTATGTTACTCTGAGGTTTTGTGGAAAGCATAATAACTAATTTAACTGAAAGTAATTTAGTCATTAAAAGGACACAAACACACTTTTTTTAAAAAAGAGATTTCTTTCAAAAGGCTTGTGCTACATGCCCAGACTTTCAATATTACTATTAACTCTTCTCTGTGATTGAGGAAACATCAGTATATATGTATTTATATAGATATAAATATAGAGATAGAGATATTCACATACACAGATACACATACAATAGATATTTGTATACATATAAAACTATGAATGGTCCTGAATTGAGATAGGGCTGGTTACTGGGGTTTTTAACAAACAGGATGCTACGTCTCCCTACGTGGCTGAAAAGAGAGTGTAAGTCAAAAATCGTTTGATATCAACTCTTCCACATACCACATCCACTAGCTATACAGTTTAAAAAGTGGTTACCATTATTTAAGTGCAAACTATTCATAATCTCAGTTCATCCTCACAGCAAATCTCATCCTCATTTAGAGGGTGAGTTCTCAGATAGAACTGGGTTCCAGTCTGGGTTCCAACACTTATGAACAGGTGGCCTTGTTATGTTACCACCTAGGCATCAATTGTTGCCTTATCTCATGGGATCTTTATGAAGATTAAGCGAGCTATGCATGAAGTGCTTAGCTGTAGACAGACAGCAAGTGTCAAAGATGTTAGTTTTATTACTGCTTTTGTTTCTTCTTTTATCATTGCACAGGGTCAAACAGCTAAGCGGAATTTCAAAGCCAAGCTCATCCTACTTCAAACTCCTTGGTGTTCCAAAGCTATACAGCAGGGTCACCGCCAAGAGCAGGTCACGGGCCCCAAACCACCTCAGGGAGCAAGGTCATGGCCAGCCAGTGGGCCAGGCCACCTCCCACTTGGTAAGACTCCTCCAACCCCACTCACAATTCCCCAAAGCTAGAGTTGGTTTGGGTTCCTGCAGAGGCGGAATTGCAGAGCTTATTCCCCATATCTACCTTAACTAAGAGCAATGCGTTCAGCGGATAAACTTGTCTCTAGTACAGCAGTGTGTCGCAGGGAGAAACAAGGGAACAGAATCAGTGTTCTTTGAAGTGAGTCCAGGTTATGTGCTTGCCCCAGAATGGAAGTTTTATTCCTCCCTTGGTCCATTTCTGAGATAGGAGGTGCCAAGGCTTTGATGAGGACCACTCCGAAAGGTCACGGTTTTGTGAAGGGGTTAAGGCGTTGAGGTTGGAGTCAGACTCGGACACATAAGTTCTGGCTTAGCTCCTGACTTTCTGAGTGAATTTGGGCAGCCCCTTTCACCTATGGGCTTCAATTTCTTCCTACAAAGGGGACAGAAAGCTGGATTACGTGTTGCTAAGGCCCGGGCTTTTATAGAAAAGCACAGCCCTAACGGATCGATGGGCCCCGAGCACTCGGGAGGCTGGACTACATGCCCCAGCATTCCCTGCGAGGAGGCGGGGCGCAGTGACGGACAGATGGTTTACGAATTGGCGGCCAGTAAAGGGCGTGCAGCGGCGCGTGCGCAGACCGCGACAGGCGGGTGGGCTGGAGAAGGTGGACGCGTTGGAGCCTCGGGCGGTCAGGTAGGGGGCGGGAAGGAGGGTTGGGGACTAGGGACCGCGGCCAGAGTCGTGGGCGGTGGCTGAGCGGCAGGGCACCGGGCTGTGCTGGCGTGCTGCGGCCAGCCGTGCCCGAATGGCAGGGTCTGGGGACCGGATCTGAGGGGCAGGATCGGGGCGGGGGTGGGGGTGGGGCTGTGAGGGGCAGGCTCGGGAGGAATTCGATGGTGTTGAGGAGATGCAGCTGGGGGAGGGGAGCGAGGGGATCTGAAGATTTGCGGTTGCTGCATCTCGGGAGGCATGAGGTAATGTGGGGTCCCTGAGGAGGGTCTGGGAGCAGCATGTGGGAGACGGGAGGGGACTTGAGGGCCCTGGAGGGATCTGAGTGCAGTATTTCAGAAATATGAAGGAATTGGGGGGCCCTGGTGAGATCTGAGACAATCTATAGGTACCAGGCATCTGGCGGGGGACAAGATCTGAGATCTAAAGGAACAAGGGCTGGGCGACCCTAATTGCTAATGAGAAAGGATTTTCCGGAGTGGGATCAGGCTAAGATTGAATGAATAAGGTTGAGTTCCTGAGGGAATCAGTAGAAAGCAGTATCTTGTTAGCAAAAAGAAGGGAGGGACCTGGCTATGTTTGAAGGCAACACATGACATGGTTGGGTAAAAGAGGCAAGAGTAGGGTTTGAGGGTGGCTGGGTGCCTGATGGAATGTAGGAGATAGGGCCTCAGATTGTGGAAGAGCAGAAATCTGAGGTGTGGGATTGGAATATTGAACTGAGATGCAGGGCTGAATGCTGCAGAGCTTTGGAAATGGATTAAAGGATCTATGTCAGAGGAATTTGGGGCACATGAGTGAAGAATTGATGAGGGTTGTAATATAGAGCATGAAATACTGGAATTCAGTGCTGTAAGAGGGTTGAGAACAGGGTTTGGAGAAGATTGAATGGTGGGCTGGAGATGTTCTAACTGGGCTATAGAGATAAAGAACTCTGAACAGATTTGTGCATTTGTGTCTAGGACTGTTAAAGGAATATTTCTGAAGTCTGCATGGGAAGCATAGGGAGTTCTGGGAACCCAAGGACCTAAATGTAATGTATGAAACTACCTATGAGTATATGACGTTTAGCAGAGTTCAGGGGTTCAGAAACAAAGTGATAAGTCTTCAGTTCAGAAATCCTGAAGGAGTGTGAGGATCCCTATGAAGGGCAAAATCTTCTTCACTTATTAACCAAAGATACCTCATCATGAGGCAGTCATGGTACTGCCACTAAAAAGTGGAAGGCTTTGGGAGAAGATAGTCAAAGTGAGGATGAAGCAGGAAACTTATTCAAAGTCAACTGCCTAAACTCCCTTTCTTGTACCCCCAAGCTGTAATAGCATGTAGTATGAGACCTCCAGGGAAATAAGTGGAACATTATCTCAAGCCAGAAGTAATCTTTATAAAGTTCATTACAGCTTGAACCGTTAGTGATTCTGTGAATGAGGTGTTGATGCTGGGACAGAGACCAAAAAAAAAAAAGATGTGGGGGCGGTGGGAGGGAGACTCTTATGTATTGAGTATTTAGTCCAATGCCAGGCTCTAAAGCAGTGGTTCTTAGCCAGTAGTGGCTTTGTCTTCCAGGAGACATTTGGCATTGTCTGGAGACATTTTGGTTGTGACAGTTCTGATGGGAATACTACTAGCTTCTAGTGGGTAGATACCAAATATGCTGTTAAACATCTTACAATGTATGGGGTAGCTTCCACAACAAAGAATTTATCTGGCCTAAAATGACAGTAGTGCCAAAGTTGAGGCATGATGTGGTCAGATATCCTGGATTCAAATCTTTTACTGACTGTGTAGTCTTGAGTGAGTTACTTAACCTCCCAGTGCCTTGGCTCTTTATCTGTAAAATGGGATTATAATAATAGGACCTATGTTATAGGATGATTGTGGGGATTTAGTCAGGGAACCTAGTGTCTGGTACATAGTAAATGCTCAAAATTTAGTAATTTTTAGTCTTATATTTACTTTCTTATTCAGTTTTTTTTTTTTTTTAACAGCCCTTCTAAGTAAGCTCTACGGTAGTCAGTTTTACACACGAGGAAACTAAGCCTTAGGAAGTGACTTGCCTAAGTTTTCATAGCTAGGAATGGCAGAGTTAATTAAGCTCATACCCAAATCTCTGTAACTCTGTGTATTCCTCTTTGCTTGCTGGGGCCTATTCAATCTTTCTTTCTCAGTTCATTTCCCCTCTAATGGAAAGAAGGACTACTCTGTGAGTATCACTGAGTATCAGATTGAACTCTAATTGGGAGTAAATCTCTCTGATCAGGTAGGGAGGAGCCCTGGACTTTGTTCTTGATTCGCTCTTAGACCAGGACCAGTGGATAGATAAAGGGAGGAGCTTGAGGTAAGCAGTTAGGATAAGATGCAAGGGACTATGGGGTGAGACACGGAGGCCATTGGCTTGAAAAAGCATCTAGCAGGGAATGAGGCTGAAGAGAGTCATACTCTAAGAAGAATAACTAGTTTTGTATGTTCACTTTTGGGCTTCTTTTTAGAATAGTCGCATTGACACTGTCAGCTCCAGGACTAGCTGCAGCATTGCTGAAGCCAGTTTAGAAACAAAGTTGGACTCCTCCTGAGGATAGAAACTTAGCTAGAATATCTACACCCATCCCTAATGAAAATATGTAACAGGAGTTGAGTCAGCCTAAGAATCAGAGGCCTGGAGTCCAAACTCCTTGCTCTGCTGTTAATTTACTATGTGACCTTGAGCTAGACAAGCACTTGTCTTTTCAGCCTTGATCTATTTAAAATGCAAATTGCTACCATTTATTGTGTGCATTATTTCAGTTCACCCTGCCAACCATCCTGCCAGCAATCTAGTTATTCCCTATTTTACAGATGAGAACACTAATAGGTTAAATGACTTATCCAGGACTACATAGCAAGTGGCAAAATGAGGATGCAAACTTTGTGTTTGACTTCTCTATTACATTATACTTGTTGTAATAGAAAGGCTTTGCCAACACTTAAGGGCTCCTATGCTCATGTCTAGAGTGTGGCTGGAAGCCAAAAGTTTATGAGGCCCTTAAGGTAGACCATTGTCCATGCACAATGATGTGCTGCCTTGTGACATTCCCTCCATTATTTCTTTCTGGTAAAACAGAGAGGCTTAAAAATCATTTCTAGGTGCCCTTACCAACCTCTTATCCAGATACTGCCTGGAGCTAAGGAACTGTAACACATCTGTTATGTCAGTATGATTTTATGGCCAGGAGTTGACAGGATTTTAATCCCTGTTCTACTACTTAATGGCTTTGAGACCTTGGATAGGTTAGTTTTCTCTGAGCATTGAATTCTTTATTTGTAAAGTGGAGTAACACATACTTTATGTGGTTATTATGAGAATAAGAAATATATAAAAGATAGCTGACAGTAAATAGTAGTTGCTTTGTGAAAGACAGTAATTATGAGAGGAAGGCAGTGCTGAAAGGAATCTGTGCTGCTTTGCTGGATTTTGATGACCCTTAGTGGTTTCTGCCAATCTTCCCGAAATTTTCATCCCCTTTTGTACTCTTTCCTAAGATCTCCTTCTTAATCCTTTAAGCAAAAATCTCATGAGTAAATGAACACATTATGTGTAGAGAAAGGAACTGAAAGAGAGTTGAATGGCCAAGATGAGTTGAAGGTTCCTAAGAAAAGGCTGCTGATTTTTCCCTTGTCTTATATTCTTGGAGTCACATTAGCAGCACAGGTATTACCCAAATGTTTGCGGAAGAGGCACGGAAGACTTTCTAGGTCTTGCAGTTTTAGAGGAAGACAGAGACAACAGGCAAACATTTTTTCCAACAAACCCTATTGTTAAGATAACTTACCCTTGATATAATTTAGCTAAAGTTTCCTTTTCCACAAACATATTTCCTTCTGGGTTGTTTTATGTGTCCCAGATTGGTACAATTTGGGAAGCATGCTTATATTTGCCTATAACCCCATACTTGTTGAGTTTATCTTAGCTGTTCTCAGGTAATCTAAACTTCATCAAAATCCTTTCCCACACACATGACTGGATGAGTGTCAGGTGGTAACCACTAACTTGCTGAAAATCAGTCCTGCTAGAGAGTGGCCTTCGGGGGCATGGAGATAGTTATGCACTTGATTAGCATTCTCTTAAAATGCATGAGGAATAAATACAGTTTAGAAAGCTGACTTGAAGGGAAATGTGATAAACTGCAAAAAAAAAAAATCCAGTCAAACCAGGGGAATGTGCCAACAGTGGGATAGAACTTTATGTCTTGTGAAAGAAAATGTGGTGTCTTCCATGTTGTCTAGTTTTTAAGTGAAAGTTCTGTTCATGGCTATTTGTTGTTCAAAATTGTATCTTTCGTGCCTTTCACAGAGCTGAACTCATACTAGGTACTCAGTATAGGTTCGCTTAATTAATTGCTTAAAGTTCTCCACTTTTGCTCATGGCCTAAGCCCCCAAGGGCTGATACGGCTATAGGAAATAGAGACATCTAGAGAACTACCCCATGGTGCGGATTCAAGCATTGGATGAAGATTTGAAACCTTAGGGTCACCTCTAATCTTTTGATTTGGAGATCAAGGTACAACTTCCAGGAGGGCCCAGATTTTGATTAACTATATGTATCTGATGCCTCAGGTACACTGAACCTATTGAAAAGTACCTATTCATTTCTTCTCATAGGTTGGGAGGTGGTGGCAGCAACTGCCGCTGTTGCTACAGTTACTACTACTGTGAATAATAATAAAAGCTATTATTTACTACACAGTTAATTGCATGCCTGGCTTGGTACTGTACTTAGTGCTTTACACATAATTTCATCTTTACAATATTTGTGAGGAAGATACTATTTTAAAGCCCCTTTTCATAGGTAAACAGAACTAGAGATAAGTAACTTGCCCAAGTCTTCACAGTAAGTAGTAGAGCTGGGATTCAAATCCAGAAAGTCTGATTTCTGCACCCACTTCCTTACTCTATGTAATACTGCCCACTCCTAGCTCCTGCCTTTTAGACTTAATTCTACTGTATGATTTGCAGTCTTAATTTCCCTCTCGTAGTCTTAGTTTCTTCATCTATATTACTTTTTGAGATTACCACAAACTCTAGCATTCCATGTTTAATCTCTGCTAGAAGGAGCTGCAGCAGCTTATTTTTTGGGCAGTAGAAGTTGTGAATTCATTGACCCATCAGCTCCTAGCCTGGATGTCTACATTCTCAATCAAATTGCTCCAAAACTGACCAGTCCTTTTATTAATCTTGATATGCCTTTCTGTGCCATGAAAGGAAAGTTTCTTCATCATTTCAAAATTCAGTTTGTAAACAGAATGCTTTGTTAATACTAGTACTAGTAGCTATTATTGTTAATACTGTTCCTGGTTGTTAATACAATTATGGTAATTAGCAACATTTCATTGCATACTTACCAGTATCAGGCTAAGTACTTTATATGCATTGTCCCTAGTCATTATAGTAATCTTTTTATAAACTAAGAAAACAGGTTTAAGGAAGTTAAAAAATTTGCCTTCTGACTTTTCAGGGTTTGGTTTGTTTGTTTGTTTTGTTTTTTCTACTATCTTATTTCATGGATTGAGGAAAACCCAGTGAGGCCAGATCAGGCTGAGATAAAATGATATAATTTTTCTGAGTCTTAGGGCAGCCAGAGCAGACACCGTTTAAGGGGTAAATTCTCATCTGAAGAGATGTGCTAGTATCAGTATGGGATGGGCAGTATTAATATTTGATCAGAAGGGTGAGAGAGGGGGAATCAGGCTGAGGTGAGATGAGGTGGAAGGTCAAAAATTAATAGAGCAAAGTGCACAACAGGAAACAGACATTCAAGTCATCAGAAAGGGAGCCAAAATCATAAATAGCATTTTGGGGATTTATTTTGGTTAATAGCAGATTTTATACCTGGTAGAAAATGGGGCAGCTTACTTAAAGAGTTGAGGTGATAAGACAATTCCTTTCACCTTTGTAGTCTATGAGGGAAATTGGGTCAAATTGATTTACCATCTGAGTCATTATCAGTATTAACAATAATGACCAGATGTACCCTTCTGGAGGAGAGAGACTAACTGCCTGTCTCTTAGCTCCATTTCAGACAAGGTTCCTTCAGAAACCAGTGTTTTCAAGTTTGGAAATAGGAAAAGTGGTTCTAACTTTTTCCACATCTGAGGCTATCTCCATGCCATGCTGGCAAAGCATGTCAGCTTCAGGGCAGGAATTCTTGACATCCTCAGCCTGGTGAAGCTGCAGTCAGCTGACATAATTTGGAGTATGGATGTGGGCATAGTAAATTCATTTTTTAAAACTGATGGCTTAGAGAGGCAGGAAGCTTTTTAATTGAAAAAGATGGTATGGATATTTCACAAAGCTGAGGAAAGAATTTGCTAGTATTTTTACAAATTGGCAGACTTGTTTAATTAGCTGATTTGCAGTGCCAACTCTGAGAAGAACACAGATGTCCCTGTGCATTGTAAGGTAACATGCTCTGGATTCAGATACCAAATGTTGCCCTCAGTCTGTTGTCCCAGATGATAGGAGAACTGAAGCTATTGGTTTAGAACTGAGAAGAGTTGATTGGATCCTAAGTTGAGGATTCTGTCAGTATTTCTATACTATTGCCCCCCAGACCCATGGCATTTAAGAATTCAGCACTCACAGTTTCACATATTCACATGAGACCTCATAGGTTCATGGTATGTTGTAATTTGTTATGTTGTTGAGGCATGCATTAGAGTCATAATGGGTTGCAAGGCTGGTGTGTGGGAGTGGGTCACCTAACTAATAAATCAATCTAATCCACTCTGTAGCAGCAGAATCTCATAATCATATTATTGTTCCTTCTTTCTCATGGAGAAAACTTATGTGCTACAAGACAGCATTTCACAGAGCACAGTCTAGAGAGCACTTGTTAATAATTGTTATATGACAGGAAAAAAATAGCTTGAAATAATCTTGGGTTAAAGAAAGTAATAATATCTGTACTGTAAGATTATACTATGTTTGAGCTGTGTCACTTTGAGTCACTTTTTCTGAGTCTTCGTTTTCCTATCTGTAACATAGGATAATAAAAATACTTTATAGTGTCATTATCAGGATTAAGTGAGATTAAGCATAAGAAGCATCTGTCATGGTATCTAGCACATAGTAGGCACTAGAAGCATGCTGTTTCCCTTGTAGTACAAAGGAAGTGGGATTTCAGGGAAGCAGGATTGACTAAATTGTACTTGTCTGCTGCTGAATATTTGTCAGATTGTATTCCAGAGCTAAATATGGTGGAAATTTGTTGTGATATATATCTCTACCCTGATTCCCCTCCTCTTATATGCCTGGAGAAAGAGTTGATAACCTGCACAAAGCTTTCCGGAGCTAGCTATATTGTCCTTAAAGCCAAGCTCCTTTTTCTCCTTGATGGTTGACCATCTGCAGATCACAAGACTGCACAAGTGCAGCTGCGTTTAAGAAAGGCTGAATTTATCCATGTGCCTCACCTTGCCAGACCTATTTATTCTAATTTTGGTTATAAGTTGTCAGTGACATAAGGTTGCAGAGCACTGAGATCTCTCTGGGTCTGCTTCATAGGTGTATGTATATCGAGTAGGGTGGAAGTGTTCATAGTATGCACTACAAGCCAGAAATATACTGTCTTAATAAGGCACTACTATTACTTAAATCATCTGGGTTTGAGTCTTTGACCATTTTAGCTCTTCACCCCTCTTCTACCATAATCTACTCAGCTTTCAAATCTTACTGACTATACTTTGGAATATTGCTCAAATGCATCTTTCCTTTTCTGCCATCTGCTCCCTAATTCAGACTCCCCATTACCTCTTCTCTGATTTGTTTCTCCACTCCATCCCAGCTTTGAGCATATCAGTTCCCTGCTCCAAAGCATCCACTGCCTCACCATGCCCTTGAAAATGAAACTCACAAATCTCATTTTGGCTCTGAAGTCCTTTTATAATCATTCCCCAATTTACCTTTCCAAATCTTTTATTCTATCTATTGCCCCTGTATAATCCCACAGTTTTGATCTAAGGATAAGAAAAAAGAGAACTAAAATTCATTTAAGAAGACTATTTTGGTGCAGAGCCAAATCTTAGCATTCTATACACCATATGTATTATTTCATCTAATTCTTATATTAACCCTGTAAAGGCAGAATTATTCCTATTTTACAAATGAGGAAACTACAGTGCAGAGAGGTTAAGTGTTCTCTGCTCTCTTTCCAATACATAAAATTTCTTGTCTTTCCCTTGCTGCCTAACCTTTGTTAAGGTAGTGCTTTTTGCCTGGTATTCTTTCCCGTGTCTTCACATATCTGTGCATCTTTCTAGGCCAATAACAAATGTTATCTCCCCTCTGCAAATTGTATTTCCCTTCAAGTTAGAATGACTCTATCTCAACTCCATTAATTTAATTTATATTTTATTTGTGGTACTACTTACTGCCTTGATTATGACTTATCTACATGTCTTGTCTCCTAAAGTTTGAGCATCTGAAGGGCAGGACCCATATCCTGAAAACCTCTTAGTATCTAGTACAGTACATGGTACCTAGACTTAGATGGATGAATAGGTAAGTAGGTAGGAAAATAAGTAAATGGAAAAAACATATTTTCTGATCTAATGTTTCAGATTACCTAAAGCTAATCATCATAATTTTCTATTTCTCTAGATGATTTCCTAGGCCTCCAAACATGACACAGTAAATTCCATGAATGATTTTTTTTTTAAAGCTTCCACGCTTTTGCTCACACAGTTTTCTTTGCTTAAAATACCTTTATCCCTCATTACCTCGTTTCTTTCAAGATGTCTTTTAGAAATGACTCTGCTCCTGGGAAGCCTTCCCCAATTCCTCTAGGTAGAATCCATCACTCCATCCACTGTACTCCTGCAGAACATTGTGTGGACCCCCATGTTATGCTTACTCCTTTTACTGTTTGTCATTTTTTGTGCTTTTCTCCTAGCATAAATTATGTTGTGTGAACATGAAAAAATAGGAAAATAATCATTACCACTTATTACAAGTATACTAACTTGCCAGGTGCCATACTAAATGTATCATATTTATCATGTTATTTAACCCTTACAGTAGCCATATAAAATAGACACCATTATTATTTCTATTTTACAGATGAGTGATGAGGAAACAGCTTTAGGAAGTTTGAATTACTTCTTTAAGGTCATGCAACTAAGTAAGTGTCTGGTACCCCATAACCTGAATTATTATCTAGTATACAATGATTTGTTTTGTTTCCCTGTGTGTCGCCCTCACCTGACACACAGTAGCTTAATAAAATAGTTGTTAAATAAACAAATGACTGAATAAATGATCATAGCTATTCTCTAAATGTTTCTTGAGTGAATTTATAGGCAGTAGAAGATGAATAATGGTTTCTTTTTCTCTTTAGCAGGAATCTGACCCTCTGGGGCATGACTGTTGAGCTGTTTATTTCTGGGCTGTGCTAGCAGGACCTTTCAAAGGAAGAGCAATGGCTGCAGCAGCTGCTTCTCACTTGAACCTGGATGCTCTCCGGGAAGTGCTAGAATGCCCCATCTGTATGGAGTCTTTCACAGAAGAGCAGCTGCGGCCCAAACTTCTGCACTGTGGCCATACCATCTGCCGCCAGTGCCTAGAGAAGCTACTGGCCAGTAGCATCAATGGTGTCCGCTGTCCCTTTTGCAGCAAGATTACCCGCATAACCAGTCTGACCCAACTGACAGACAACCTGACAGTGCTGAAGATCATTGATACTGCAGGGCTCAGTGAGGCTGTGGGGCTGCTCATGTGCCGGTCCTGTGGGCGGCGTCTGCCCCGGCAGTTCTGCCGGAGCTGTGGTTTGGTGTTGTGTGAGCCCTGCCGGGAGGCAGACCACCAGCCTCCTGGCCACTGTACACTCCCTGTCAAAGAGGCAGCTGAGGAGCGGCGTCGGGACTTTGGAGAGAAGTTGACCCGTCTGCGGGAGCTTATGGGGGAGCTACAGCGGCGGAAGGTAGCCTTGGAAGGTGTCTCCAAGGACCTTCAGGCAAGATATAAAGCGGTTCTCCAAGAGTATGGGCATGAGGAGCGCAGGGTCCAGGATGAGCTGGCTCGCTCTCGGAAGTTCTTCACAGGCTCTTTGGCTGAAGTTGAGAAGTCTAATAGTCAAGTGGTAGAGGAGCAGAGTTACCTTCTTAACATTGCAGAGGTGCAGGCTGTGTCTCGCTGTGACTACTTCCTGGCCAAGATCAAGCAGGCAGATGTAGCACTACTGGAGGAGACAGCTGATGAGGAGGAGCCAGAACTCACTGCCAGCTTGCCCCGGGAGCTCACCCTGCAAGATGTGGAGCTCCTTAAGGTAGGTCATGTTGGCCCTCTCCAAATTGGGCAGGCTGTTAAGAAGCCCCGGACAGTTAACATGGAAGATTCCTGGGCCATGGAGGCTGCAGCCTCTGCTGCCTCTACCTCTGTTACATTTAGAGAGATGGACATGAGCCCTGAGGAAGTAGCTGACAGCCCCAGGGCCTCTCCTGCTAAGCAGCGAGGTCCTGAGGCAGCTTCTAATATCCAGCAGTGCCTCTTTCTCAAGAAGATGGGGGCCAAAGGTAGCACTCCAGGCATGTTTAATCTTCCAGTCAGTCTCTACGTGACTAGTCAAGGTGAAGTGCTGGTTGCTGACCGTGGCAACTACCGTATACAAGTCTTTACCCGCAAAGGCTTTTTGAAGGAGATCCGCCGCAGCCCCAGTGGCATTGATAGCTTTGTGCTAAGCTTCCTTGGGGCTGATTTGCCCAATCTCACTCCTCTCTCAGTGGCCATGAACTGCCACGGGCTGATTGGCGTGACTGACAGCTATGATAACTCCCTCAAGGTTTATACCTTGGATGGCCACTGCGTGGCATGTCACAGGAGCCAGCTGAGCAAACCCTGGGGCATCACAGCCCTGCCTTCAGGCCAGTTCGTAGTAACTGATGTGGAAGGTGGAAAGCTCTGGTGTTTCACTGTTGATCGAGGAGCAGGGGTGGTCAAATACAGCTGCCTTTGCAGTGCTGTGCGGCCCAAGTTTGTCACCTGTGATGCTGAGGGCACCGTCTACTTCACCCAAGGCTTAGGCCTCAATCTGGAGAATCGGCAGAATGAGCACCACCTGGAGGGTGGCTTCTCCATTGGCTCTGTGGGCCCTGATGGGCAACTGGGTCGCCAGATTAGCCACTTCTTCTCAGAGAACGAGGATTTCCGCTGCATTGCTGGCATGTGTGTGGATGCTCGTGGTGATCTCATCGTGGCTGATAGCAGTCGCAAGGAAATTCTCCATTTTCCTAAGGGTGGGGGTTATAGTGTCCTTATTCGAGAAGGGCTCACCTGTCCAGTGGGTATCGCTCTCACTCCTAAGGGGCAGTTGCTGGTCTTGGACTGTTGGGATCATTGCATCAAGATCTACAGCTACCATCTGAGAAGATATTCCACCCCTTAGGAGATTAGAAATATCAGTGTCTTCTGCTCCCCAGCCAACTTCCCTTCCCTAAGTCCTTGGTTGTTGGTGGTACATATAGAGTAGACTTGGCCTATGTCCTGATTCCAGCTGGGTAGTTCTATAAGATTTTAGAAGTTCCATCTTTTAGTGTTTTTTTATTTGTTATTTCCCCCTCCCCACTTCTCACCTAAATTCAGAGCTTTAACAGATGCACTGCCCAAATAGGACACATGATGATGGTGTTAGCTAAAGTTTGGTTAGAAATTAGGCACTTCCACGGCTTTGTAGAGAAAACCACTTTAGCCTTTTGCCCTTGTATTTGAAATGTACCCCTGTATTAAGTTCTTGTTGATTTTTCTCCCTGTTGGCTTTGATGTTCTTGGTCCATTGTTTCCTTCCTATTATAATGTGCTTCATCTGTGACACTTTCTCTTCAACTCTGGTTGCATTCAATGTGCATGCTCCAGTGGGATCTGCTCCACCTTTCAGTGACATTTTAGACATCATATTTCTCTCGCATAGTCTCAGATCACCTTTACCAGTGCAGTGTGAAAGCTTATTCTTTTAGTGTCACCAAAGGGGATGCACAGTCCCTTTGGAAAGCAGTACCTCTCTGCTGGGGGATCTGTGCCATCTTGGATTGGTCTCTCATTACAGATGTGACAGAGAATGGATTGACCCTAACTGCTTGGTGTTGAAGACTTCAGCCTGGAAACTACTTGCCTTTTGAAGAAGCATATATGGATTGGAATTATGCCAAAGCATAGAAAGATGGGAATAAGCAAATGTAAATGCTAATATAGTGAGCAAACATGGGAAGTCTTGAGAGCTCATCGATTTTCATACTACCTCTCTCCATTGGCCTGTGCTAAGAGTTATCTGAGGAATTGTACAACAGAGGCCAAGGCCAGCAAAGTGGGGAGATGGACATGTCTCATTTTCATTACTAACAACAAACAACAAAACTGTTGGGTTGTTATTTTGTATTTTCCTCAAGTGAGTACATACTGTTTGATTCCAGGACTTATTTCCAGTTCTCTGTCAAGCATTAAATAATTCATAACTGTTTCTTCATTACTGGTGTTCATGTCTTTTAATTAAATATGGGATTTTGGAGATGATAAGAGGGATAACTTGCACCATGATGTTTTGCTGTTTTCTTATCTAACACTACCAATTCTTTGAGAACATAGGTATATATCCAGGTCAAAATGCTGCCAAAAGTGCCATTATGTAAAGACAATCCAAATATTCCCACACGCATGTATACAGAATCATCCCCCCATGGCTGGAGTCACCAACACCCTGTTCTAAATTGAGCCTCCACTCTATTTTATCTTTATAATTACAATTCGAAAAAGAAAGATAGCCTTGTGCTTTTAAGAAGATCAGAAGTGGGTAAGAGAATCTGATGAGATTCTTGCGGCTTTGGTATTTACTAGGCAACATATCTTGCTCGTTAAGTGCAGGGGTAATGGCAGGCCAAAGAGCTATACCCTTTCTTTTGTGAAACAAAATATGCTCAGCTGAGCTACTCAAAATTGTTTTTATCATAGCAATATTTGGTTTTGTTTGTTTGTTTTTGAGGCTTCTGTTGTAGTTGCCAAAGGATAGGTAAAGAGGTGACTAAAATGATGTTGAACTAGTTTGTCTTGTGCATTTCACCTGGAGAAAGCTCTATGTTCTGATTATGAAATTGTATCTGATTTTCAAAGATTGTGTAATTTAGAGTAAATTGATCCAATTAAAAATGCATCACAGATGACTCCACTAATTATTAGAGCCACTTCATCTGTGGTGGCACCTGGCAGCAGATCTGTCTTTGCTGTCAATGGGGGGACTTGCTGAGGCAGTAACAGCAGCCCAGGCCTTTGGCATGGAGTTTGCAGCAGAGAAATTAATATGATATTGTGGGCTGGGTTGAGGTAAATGAGGCCAGGAACTGTACAGCTGCCTAGGCTTTTGGAAGGAAGTGCTATCATTGATTGGCATTCTGCATTTAGATCTGTCCCCTTCTCTAAACTGTACTCAAGCCTTGGCCCTAAGCAAAACAGGTATTTGCTGGCTCAAAATGGAAGTAAGCATGATCTGAATGTTTTTTTTTCTTTTTCCTTTTTGATGTGAATATTTTAGGCTGTGCTTAGTACATTCAATTTTTAATTATCTACCATTTGAGTAAATTGCAGACTATGGCCACAAGAAACTAATCAGTTCAATTACAGCAGTTTTTTTGTTTGTTTTTTAAATCAGCAGCACCCTTTTCCAAATAAAGTCTTATATTTAAGTCTATCATGTAAAATAGGTCAAAGAGCAGCTGCTATGGTTGAAACAGGTTTGTCAGGCTGGAGAACAGGCTATTTTCTCCCCTCACCTCACCTCCTGTGCTGTCATTGCAAAACTCTTGTGAATCTACAGAGTATTTCCAGAAAACCACTGAACCACAGAACTGCTAATCCTACAGTTGCATCTTATTAGCCATGTGGTCTTGAACAAGTCACTTAACCCTTCCTCTTCTTGAAAATGACAAAAATGATCCCTGCCTCCAGAAAAGGCATGAAATAACATAAAAACACCTGGTTTTATTTCCAGAATATTCAATAAGTGCTGGCTGTTTTTAACTTTTATTGAGTTGCTCAAAAGAGTGCCTGGCAGCATGAGGCCATCCAACCATGCCAAACAGCACAGTCCTTGCCTACCTTCTTGCTTTGCAGGTTTCTGTTCGGCAACCAAAACCCTTCTCAGGCACTTCTTTTCCACTAGCCCCAAGTCTCCATATATATCTGTTCACCTGTTGCTTTCTGTTATCTCTCTACCTGTTTTGTGTTTCTATTGTATAAATCACTATGTTGCTATTATTTTTGCATATATCTAAGTTTTACTGGGGGCAAACTAATCATATACATGGTGCCTAGTATAGAATATGTTCTCAGTTATTTAGTTGGCTCAGTTATTTAATAGGGCTTCAGTAACCTGCCTGAGTCCCAGCATAGCCCCCTTACTCTGAATAAAAAGGGATGCTCAGACAAACCCTTTTATAAGGCAGATAAAAAACTAGTGGCAAACAGTTCTGCCTTACAGCTGGGTTAAGCCCCTTCTTTCCTTTATTATTCTGAGTAATTCCACTGAATTCAAGGTTTTGGAGCAATGATTCATTCAGTATTTATTAAGCATCTATTGTGGGCCAGCGCTATGCCAGGTGTTTAGAAAAGAAAAACTTAAATGATCAATGATATTAATGTGTCTGCTTTCTCATAAATTATTCCACAGTCTTTCCTGTCTGAGGTATTTGAAATTTACTGTTCTATCACCCTGGACTTCCTCTAAGCCCAGATACAGGCAGTGTCTGAATAATTCTGAAAGTCAATCCCAGTATACACTGTAGTCTGAGAGAGTCTGCAGAGGGGTTCTCCGTTATTCCAATCAGGGTAAATATGGTTTGAGTTTTGCAGTGTTCCTCTGGGTAAGGCAAGTAATGCTTAAGTAGTTGTACTTTTAATCTAGTACTGATTAATGACCTCTTAAAAGTGAAGTGTTACTCTGCTCTTAGGAGAGAGATGGAAGGCAGAACCTAGTGGGAGACTCAGTTCTCTGCATCTGACTGGGATGCTGATTTGCACTCGGGATGTACAGCTTCTCGAGGCAGCTCAAAACAAATTACAGATATGAAACAACAGATGCCTGGTTGAATTTTACAAGCAGGGCAGTGGTGAGGTAGAAGACTGTTTAGCAAAAAACACACTTAGACTTCAGATGTATGGCTTTATCTTGTCAATATTATTAATATTCATAGGACCTTAGCTAAGTCTGAAGTTAGTGAGGCAGCTCTGGGACTGGCAGTGTATTCTAGAGGGAAGATCACTGGACTTGAAGTTAGGCCTGTCTGGATCATGGCTCTGCATTTTAACTAGCTATGTGTTCTCAGACAATTGCCACAGCTCTGAGCATCAGTTTCCCTATCTGTAAAATAAAGATATTGGACTAGGTCACCAAAATCCCTTCCAGCTCTCTGTTTTTAAATAATTTGTTAACCAAATGGAATTATGGTTAAGTTTTCCCCCAATGTTTTGTATAATTTTTGTTATAATTTTATTGTGTTTGCATTATACTAGTGGGAGGAAAAAAAAAAACCAACCCTGTACTTTGGAATCAGCCCACCTTGATCTAGTAGCTTCTCTACCCCAACTGTTGTAACTTTACGGCTGCTTATTAGCTATTGTCACCCTGCTAAGCTACAGTTTCCTTACCTGGTAAGAAGAAATGACAGTTTATTAGAAATGACAGGCTGCTGTGAGAATTAAAAGAGATTAAAAGGATTGTATGTGTAAAAGTACCTAATTCAGAAAATATGATTTCCACTGTAGGGGTCAAAGGCTTCCTTCCCCTTGTGGTGAGCTATACACATTCTTCAGGTAAAAGCTGGGGGGAGATTTCATATCTGTATTGATGATGCAACAGCATATTCAGCACTTCTTGACTTCCTAATTAAAAAGCCTGTTGGAGGAAGAGTGGGATTGCTGGAGCAGGCAGAGGCAAAAACTAATTGACAGCAATTTGTCCCACTAGGAAAACACATAAAACCTGAAGTCTAACCATTTAATTAAAGTAGTTAATATGGCATCTTGATTCTTCTTGAGAGGTAAATAGAGCCAACATTTTAAAATGATATATATATATGCTAATATACAGTATATCTAAATACACATATATGTAGAGAAAGGTACAAATTTTTAAAAGACAACTTAGAAACATGCGTATTTAGCTATTCGTGTAGATAGCTAGCTTTAAAGGATTTTGCCTCCAGGACAATATTCATTAACTCAAATAATTATAAAAATAAAAGTAAGCCACAAATCCCACTGTCGGGTGGTTAAAGCTTGGTCTATACAAGTAGGGAAGCCTGAGTTTAATTGTGCTTCCCTTGCTTATTAGCGCTATGACCATTAAGTCATTTAGCCTCTCAGCCTTAGTTTTCTCATTAGTAATACAATGATTCTGTTTCACATTTTATAATACTATTGTGAAGAGATAATGATTATAAAACCCCTAGCAGACTAACAGACATTTTTGAAATTATAGTAAAATGTATCTGAAAGTTACCTTCATTTTTGTTATACAAAAATAATAGGAAAATGGTAAGGAAACCATTTATCCCTTTACCTCAAAAGAAAAGTATTTAGTCACTCACTGAAATCTACTGAAAACATGTAGAGTCTGTATGTGTGTAAGTCAAATGCATGTTTTTTCTATACAGGTAAACCAGAATTTTCCTTGGTGATTTACTCAATTTACCTGGTTAAAATTATAATAACATTGCATATTGTCACAGAATATTAAGATCTGGAGGCCGAATGCGGTGACTCACGCCTATAATCCCAGCACTTTGGGAGTCCTAGGTGAGAGGGTTGCCTGAGCTCACGGGTTTGCGACCAACTGGACAGCTTGGTGCAACCTCATCTCTACAATAAATCAAAAAATTAGCCGGACTCGGTGCCTCAGCCTGTAATCCCAGCGCTTTGGGAGGCTGAGGTGAGTGGATTGCCTGAGCCCGCAGGTTCGAGACCCGTCTGG